CCTAATTTCAGTATTATCCTTTTTTTTCCCTAATTTCAGTATTATCCTTTTTTTTCCCCAATTTCAGTATTATCCTTTTTTTTCCCTAATTTCAGTATTATCCTTTTTTTTTCCCTAATTTCAGTATTATCCTTTTTTTTTCCTAATTTCAGTATTATCCTTTTTTTTTCCTAATTTCAGTATTATCCTTTTTTTTCCCCAATTTCAGTATTATCCTTTTTTTTCCCTAACTTCAGTATTATCCTTTCTTTCCTTAATTTAGAACTCAGCGTTTCTGGAACCCGATATTAACATTTGAGTTCTTTAAATATTTAAAATTTAAATTTTAAATTTTTTAAATTTTTCATTGATTTTTAAATTTTTCTTTCATTTTTAAAAGTTGATTTTGTTTTTCCTCCCAGCATCACTTACAACCTTACCTGACCCAAAAACTCGGTTATATCAAAGGGATGTGCATCAATAACTGAAGGAACAACATTATATAAAGGTTTTATTTATACTTTTTAAGCATTTACACAAAGTTGCTGAGGCAGTAAATTCTGTGGGACGATTTAAATGCCTTTATAATTGCATCATAATGTACTTTACCAGCCTTTTCAGTTTATCAAAAGGCCAAGAACAGTCTTTCCAAAGGATTGGTGTTCTTTTAGCAACCCTCAAAAAGGCACGAAAATCAGTCCTAGAGAGCCCTGGTTTGTTCTCAAATTGATTTAAAACAGCAGAGACCTTACCTTGAACATTTCTGTTTAATACAGGCCCTTGGTGGTCCCTTGGGTTTTGTGATTTTTAGTTCAAACTACCAAAAGAAAGGATGAGGAATTAATTAAATTTGGGTTTACAAGGCCAATGTGGCTGCACCCAAACCCCAAAAACATTTGGAAAGCAGTAAAATACTACAAAAGAGAAAAGGAAGCCTAAATAAACCTCCTGAAGGTCTAATTAAAATTATCTTTTGCTGCTCTAAGTTGGGATGGAGCACCTTTATCAGCAGGAAAGAGAGGTTGGGAGGTAACACAGGGAATTGATATTCCTAAATAATGCTCAGATCCCACAGTTAAGACAGCACAACTTAATTTTTTTTGTGCAGTTAAACTCTCATCTTCACTTTATCTCCTTAATATTTTTAAGATTACTTTCATGTAAAATAGGAACATACTTACTTCACATTTTACTGCACCAGAAGAACTGAAAATAATTATTTTTGAAATAAGGCCTTTACAATCGGGAGTAAAACACAATTCCTTAAGGAAATCCTGAGGGGAGAAAACACACAAACCAAAGAGATTTAAATCCACAAACACCAGCTGTGCTCTTACACAAATCACAGTTTCTTAATTGGAGGTAATTTAAAAAAAAATGGAATAAAAAAGTTCAGGAAGGTCTGTGGCACACCCCTGTTATTCCCAAAGCCCCTCCTCCAACTTCACACTCAAAAAAAATCCATTTTCAGAATATGTATTTATGCATTTATTACTGCATATGTTGCCTGATTTCCCTTCATTTCACACAGGCTGCTGATACTGTGGTTTATAAAATTACGTTAAGTATAATATAAATAAAATCTAATATCAATAATATAAACTTGATTAAAGATGCCTGTGGCCTGCCAAAGCTCTTACCTTATCATTTTTATCACTGTAGCTCGTTGTTTTCAACTTTTTCCAGCAGCTCATATGAAACTCCACCCTGCACTGCTGACAGCAAATAACACGTATAAAACCCTAACAGTGAGAAATGGGACAAATTCAACATTTTTAAGGAAAAGCATAACAGAAATAAACACCTCAGCTTGACAGCAGGGAACATGGAAGGGGGCAGAAACCATGCAAGCGTGAAGTTTTACTCCTCAAACCCTTTTAAGTTCACCTCTGCCCTCGAAATTTACCTTGAAGTCTGGGTCTGTAAAAAATATTTGGATTTTGGAGTGGCCGTGGCACTGCTGATACCGACAGACAGCATCTGGTTCTGGAGGGAACCTGCACTGCTCAATGCAATTCCTTAAAGCCATCTGAGAAAAAAAAACACAAAAGGGATGTGAGGCAAACTGCATGGAAATCAGGGAAAACTCAGAGTGTACTTACAGGTTCCTGGGGAATTCTGCTGCCAGACACGAAGCTCCCTCAGAAAAGCAGCTGACTAATACCAGAGGAACAACTCTTTTCTAAGTGGAAAGACATAAAATTGTCCTTTTATGGCCAAAATATTCCTGAGTTTGTTTGAAGTGCTGTCAGCTGAGTACTCATATAAAAAAAAAAAAAAAGCAGGTTTATCTTGGACCCGTGTTTTACACCCTGAGCAATCCCAACTGCAGGAAGTGTCCCACTGCCAAAAAGAAGAGCCAGATTAACTGAGATAATAGGATAAAAAAGGAGTGTCTTGCTCATCTCTGAAGCTTCCCAGAGTATGTCTCACTTGGGATCTGGGTTACAGGATCAAGTACAATCCCAGGGATAGCTCTGGGGAGCCAGGGAGGTCTCTCCCAGAGTATTCTCTGAGGGAAAGTCAGATTTATGTGAAGTGGATTTATGTAGAGTCAGTGCAAGTGCCACAGTGCTGGCATTGAGTCCAGAGTAATAAAACACCATTAAAAACAAACAGACCTCTAGCAAACCCTGCCAGATATTTGCATTATGCTCTCCAGAGGTCCCAGACCACTGCGACCAGATTTCTGAGGGGGGGGTCTCTGAGAAATCCTCGGGTCGGTTTTTGTTTAGGAAACAACAGAACTGCTGCTTCCACCCAAAACTAAACAGGTCCAGCCAAGCTCAGACACTGAACAACCTCCAAAGTTCTCCTGGGCCAAAGTGCCTCCCTGCAGGGCAGCTCCTGTGGTGCCACATCCATGAGGCACAATTTTCAAGTTAAAGGGGGAGTTTTGCCTCAATCAAAAACGACACAGTCAAAGCCCCCTGTCTGGTTTTCAACACGGTCACACTGCTGCCATTTTCCACTTCACATCTGTGCCAATTCCAATTTTTAACCAGCTCTCTCCAGCATTATTTTGTGCATTCACAACTTAAAAGTTTGGTGATGTGCAATGAAGGAGTTCATCCATCATCACAGGATCATCGAGGCTGGAAAAGATCCCCAAGATCAGACTCCACCCTGTGCCCAATCCCCACCTTGTCCCCCAGCCCAGAGCACTGAGTGCCACGGCCAGTTGTTCCTTGGGCACCTCCAGGGATGGGCACTCCACCACCTCCCTGCCTTTCCACGAGGAAATTCTTCCCTGAAGAAATCAGGAAATACTTGGAGCAGATCAGAATTGTATTCCACAGAAATCCCCAAGCACAGAGCCTGACCCAGAGCTCCTGCTCTTATGCTGTTAATGGGATGCTTCCCACATTTCCATTTCACCCCCACCTTTCTTGGATGTGGGCGGTGGGAGGCAGGGAGGAGGAGGAAGAGCAGGAGGAGGAGGAAGAGGAGGAGGTTAAACACACCTGCAAACTCTCTGTCTGAGTCTCCTCGATGACCCGAGCTGTCGCCGGCCACGTCAACACCCCCGGGACAATCTTCAAATCAATCATCAGCTTTGATCTCAGGAACTGATCGAGTGCATGAGCAAATCTGGAGTTGGAAACAGGCACAGAGTGTTCAGAACCTCTGTGAGCAACTTCTACAGTCTCTGATGATTCATTTTATCATCCAAGCAGCAAACAGCAGCAATGGAGAGTATGTGGGGTGAGAGAACACCTAGTTCATTAAATTCCCTGTTTAAGGACTCTCTGGGATAAAAGACTCAAGCTGTGAGCCAGGTAAAGGGCTCAGCATCCAGGCATGGATACGAGGCAGACTGAGAGCCTGTGCTGACATTCCAGGGATCCACAAATGTGCTTGGGAATGCAGAGTGAGGACCTGTGTGTGTGTGTGCACAGGAGTGACCTTCAACCCTGCTCAGCCAGGGAGGGGTTCTCCCTGAGTTCAGGCAGTGCAGACATGGGAGCAGCCCTGCCTGGGGGAGGCTGGGTGGCCAGAGGTGTTGTCACCTGTGCAGGCAACTTTTTGGGTCAAAATTGCCAAGGAAAGAAGAGCCACAACCATGGGATTGGGATGCAGACAGCTCCTGGAACACAGACTGCACCCAACAGTGGGAAGCAGGAATCCCCTCTCAGCATCCAACCCACTCTGCCCAGTGCTTTGAGATGTTCCACACGAGGAGGGGTTAAGGTTTAATATCAAAACTTACTTAATTTGGCATTGTACTGGCTTTACATGGCAAGGCTGGGCAGGGAGGTGGGGACCATTCCCTGAGGAGAAGCCAGGGCTGCCCCAGATCCAGCTGGATACAACAAACCCACCACAGGGAACAGCAGAGCCCCTCAGGCAAAGCACCTCAGGGAAAACAGGGATAAGGAAGGACAAAACACACTGCAGGGCTGTGGGGAGTAAGGGGAAAAAAGCTCCCCCATGGCCCATCCCTCTGGGCTGCTCAGGGGAGGAGGAGGGAGAGGAGAAGGGAATGAGGGAGTGAAGTCGAGCCTGGGATAAAGGAGGGGTAGGAGAAAGGTGATTTTAGTAGTTCTACATTTTTTCCCCACCATTCAACTCTATTTTAAGGGACAACAAGTTGTTTTGCCCCATGTTGAGTCTGCTTTGCCCGTGGCTCATTAGCAAGTGATCTCTCCCTGCTTTTATCTCAATCCCGGAGCTTTTCCACCTCCTGCTGAGGAGAGGGAGAGGGAGCAGAGCTGGCTGAAGGTCTCTCACCCCACCACAAGCTTCCTGGTGGATTTTGATCGCACAGAGCAGCGGCGAGGCACCCAAAATCACAACCCAAAGCTTTACACGCAGCAATCGCCACACGGAGCCGCACCACCGCAGCTGGGATTCCCGGTTTGGGGATGCTGGGAAGAAACCCCACCAGGAATACAGTTTCTCGAGTTTCTTACTTGCCCTGTTTCTGCACCTCACCTCCCTCTGGTGTTTTGGCTCAGGAAAACAGGAAAACATCCCTGTTATCTGTCCCAGGGAATGCGGTGACTCCCTGGGGCAGCCGCCTTATCTCGGCCCAAGGTCACTCCGGCCTCCCCAGGCCTCAGATAAGTTAAGCTTTCTTTACACTACATTTTTTTCCACAAGAACACAAAGGGTTTTGTTCTTCTCCCACAGAGCTCTCCCCCCTCCCCACCACTGCAGGGATGAGCTGGTCAGTCCTATCCCTGTTCCCTCAAATCCGCTGGATTTATTCTGCAGCTTCCTTGAGTTCCTCGGCAGGAACAAACTCCAAGTTGTAATAAACAAAACTCCAACTTGTAATAAATCATCCTGATGGATGAATTCAGTGATTGACACTAAAATCAGCCTGATGGAGGAATTCACTGATTGACACAGAATAATTAAACCCCCACCCCACCTCGTTCCTCAAAGGAAAGGATTTTTTTTTTCTCCTACCATATCTTGAAGTTTTCCATCACACCAACCTGTTTTGCCTGAGGTAAACCCTCCCAATTCCATAGTGTGCCAAACAAAAGCATCTTTCTTCTGGGTATTCTTCAATTATTTTCTTAAACTGGTCTTCAGCTTTTGCCAATGCCTTCAAAAGAAATGTAAGACACAAATAAACGGTGCTTTTCCATAAGTTTTCCACTTTTCCTCTCTTTTTTTTTTTCCCCATTACAGTGGGTCAGGGTGCCCTATTCTTTGATTAGTCTTATGAACAGTAAATGGAATTACACAATCTCATGATCACAGGAAAAGCTTCCCCTTTTTTTTAAAAAAAAAAAGAAACTTATTCTGTAAACACAGACTCCCTCTGAAAGAATGAAATTAAATGGCTTTTAAATTGGTTTTTAAATTCATTTTAAGACACTGAATATTATAAAACACTGCAGGAAGAAAACCCCAAACCAACTTGAAAACAAAACAAAACAAAACAACAAACCAAAACAAATCCAGAGTTTGCCTTTGGTTCTGGAAAACAGCAAAGTATTTTGGTGTTCTCCAGAACAAAAAAAGCAAACTCTGTCTCCTGTTTTAGGAGCTGAATGTTTGTCTTAAAAACACTGGTGCAGATCCACATAATAAAGTAGAAGAAAAAAACCAATTATAATAATCATATATAAATTATATATATTATAATAATATATAACAATATAATAATGTAATAATGTATATTATATGTAATAATATGTATATATATGTAATAATTAATTTCTTAACACCAGAATCTCATTTGAAAGCTTAAAAAATACATTTTATTTGGTAGCTTTAGTTATCCAAAGTCATTAAGGATCTAGTCCCAGTGTACAATTCCAAATTGTGTCACCAGGTTTCCTTCCCCACCCATTTTCTGTCTCTTAGGAAGAGATGAAAATGGATGGGCAGTTGCCTGAGCTAGAGGTCGAAATAAAAGCACTATTTAAATATAAAATAGATAAAACCAGGCTTCGTGTCCTACCTCAGGTTGTCCTATTCCCAGGAGGGCAGTGGCATGTCCATAGATGATCATGGCATAATTAATTTTATGAATATTCAGACACTGCAAAAAAAAAAAAAAGTCAAATTATAGTGGCAGCACAAACAAAAACATTGTGCAAACTGTTATATATCAATTTAAAGAAATCCAGGATGACAATTGGGTCAATATCTGAATGGATATAGATACACAGACACCAAATTTCACAGTATTTGCCATCAAAGAGTTATCTAACTTGAAGAATAAAAATCACTTTCACCCTATATCATTAAGGATAAAGGTTAATCCGACAATCACAGAATTATTTAGGCTGGAAAAGACCTTTAAGATCATCAAGTCCAACCACCAACAGACTGTGGTTTTTTATAAAACACAGTATTTGGTCAATGTACTTTATATCACTCTAAAAAAAAATACAATTTTGGTAAGTATTTTTTACATTGCATCTAGAAATGCA